ACTGATGTCTTAGAGGGTATGCTGACTGTTCACTGGGTGGTAGTGGGCGGGGGGGGGGGAGGAGGAAGTATGCAGAGAGAAGGGTTCTGTGCCCTTAAGTCACATTAGTTCAGGTTGTCTAGCCATCGTTCTATATGTGCATTTCAGTTAATACTGCTGTGTATTAAAGGATAAACAAGTCCCTGATGCTCAATGTATGCTAAAAGTAGAGGTAGTAAAATAATCCCTTTTTCAGTTCTTAGGAAGGACTATCCTCTTGGAATGACCGTTGTTAATTGACTTCTTGGAACTAGATATAGTCCTGTACTTAGTCATTAGAATGGTAGAAGAGGATGAAGAAGAAGGGGTGGAGGGAAGGGATCCTTGCCAGAATCTCCATATCTAGAAGATGTTTTTAGATGATAACCACAGGTCTATAGGTGCATTTTGAGTAAAGTACCTATGTTTATTGTGGACAGAGTTCATTATTTTGAAAAACCTAAGCTTCATAGATGTCTTGATGTGACAACATATAATAAAAAGCAGAGCTACTCCATAACTATATACATCTACTATGCACCCACAAAATTATTTTAAAAATAGGGCTAGTGAATTTGCCAATTTGTAAATATCTTTTTGTTATAATTGATAGAAAAGATGCATGTTGGACATGGAATTGTTAAACCACCTCTGAGCAATGTATATATTGGGACTTGTTCATTAGTTTGGCAGCAGATGAGTAGAAGAAAATATAAAGAGACAGATGTATGCAGATGTATTCATATTTACATTTTGACAATAGCCACTAATGTATGTGAGTCTCTCTTGGCTGTACTATGGGAATACATGAAGTAATTCAATGGAAACATACCTTCTTGGTAATATTGTAGTGGCAAAGATCCCATAATAAATTTTCTTAGAAACATTACACTTAGTGTTGCTTTATTATAGAAACACTATAGAGTATGGAAACATTATACTTAGTGTTGCATTATACTCTGTTGCTTTATGTTTCATTTTAAATTGAGCATTAAGGCAATACAGTCCTCTAATGGGAACTCTGCCAATACTTCTAGCTAGAGGTTTGTTGCCATTTTTGTCTTCCATGAAATTTTTGTCCCAAGACAGGTGGCATTATATTTTCTTCTAACAGATTGAGTTGCTGCAGGGTGTTCTTGGTTATCAAAATACTCATATAGCTTTGGGGTTTTCAATTAGTAAATATCCATAATGTGTGATAAAACATGATACATATTGCATGATCTTAATCCCATAAAATTGGATACTGTGTATATGTACACACAGGACTTAGAAGGACAAGTCAAACTGTAAACTGCTTGTGATTGTGGATGACTGTTCTTTGCTTCTTGTGTTTCTCAGTTGCCTACAGTAAACATACTAACTTCTTAAAAATGAAGGGTGTGGGTTTTGTTATTTTGTTTTTTTGAGATAGGGTCCTGCTCTGTCACCCAGGCTAGAGTACAGTGGCATGATCATAGCTCATGCAGCCTCAAATTCCGGGCTCAAGTGATTTTCCTACCTCAGTCTCCCAAACAGCTGGGACTACAGGCACACACCACCACACCTGGCTAATTAAAAAAATGTTTTGGCCAGGTGTGGTGGCTTATGTCTGTAATCCCAACACTTTGGGAGGCTGGTAGATCACCTGAGGTCAGGAGTTCAAAAAGACCAGCCTGTCCAACATAGTGAAACCCCGTCTCTACTAAAAATCCAAAAAAATTAGCCAGGTGTGGTAGCGAGTACCTGTAATCCCAGCTACTCGGGAGGCTGAGGCAGAAGAACTGCTTGAACCTGGGAGGCCGAGGTTGCAGTGAGCTGAGATCGTGCCACTGCACTCCAACCTGGGCAATAAGAGTGAAACTCCATCTCAAGTTAAAAAATAAAATAAAATAATTTTTTTTTTTTTTTTGTAGAGACAGATTCATACTTTGTTGCCTAGGCTGATAAGGTTACTTTTTTCAAAAGTCTAATGTGGCTGAGTGTGGTGGCTCACGCTTTTGATCCCAGCACTTTGGGAGGGAGAGGTGGGAGTTAATCCCAGCACTCTGGAAGGCAGAGATGAGAGGATCTCTTGAGCCCAGGAGTTTGAGAACAGCCTAGGCAAAGTAGTGAGACCCATCTCTACAAAAAAATAAAACAATTAGCTGGGTGTGGTGGTGTGCATCTGTAGTCCCAGCTACTCAGGAGGCTGAGATGGCAGGATCACCTGAGCCTGGGAAGTCAAGGCTGCAGTGAGCCATGACTGTGCAACTGCACTCCAGCCTGGGTGACAGAGTGCGACCCTATCTCAAAAAATAAATAAAAATAGGCTGGATGCGGTGGCTGATGCCTGTAATCCCAGCACTTTGGGAGGCCAAGGCAAGCAGATCACTTGAGTCCAGAGAGACCAGGCTGGGCAACATGGAGAAAACCTGTCTCTACAAAAATACAAAAATTAGCCAGGGGTGGTAGTATGTGCCTATAGTTCCAGCTACTTGAGAGGCGGAGGCAGAAGGATCACTTCAGCCTAGGAGTTTGAGGCTGCAGTGAGCTCTAATACACACCACTGCACTCCAGCCTGGGTGACAAAGCGAGACCCTGTGTCAATTAAAAAAATAATAAGATTAATTTTTAAAAATTAAAAAAATAAGTTAAAATTTTAAAAAGTCTAACGAATGCTAAAACTATGAAAGGTTGATGGGGAACGAGATACTTGCAATGTCACCAAAGTGTCCCCCACATATTGGTTAACGGCAAAGGGAATTTTATAATAGGGGAATTAGGTAGTTACTATATTAACCCTATGATCAAAACCAGTAAGATCACCAGATATTATTGCCTCATGACAGGATGTAATATGCAAGACACAACATTACCTATCAAAGCATTTTTGCCAAAAATATTTTACCTAATTTAAATTTAACTTCTAGTTCACAGATAACATAGAACATAGAGGAATAAACTAAACAGTAATGTAAAGAAACAATCAGACCAATTTCGAAACTTACAGAAAATTGGCTTCATCTATCATCAATGGGGAAAGAGGCATGGGGTAGGGCAAGGGTATTTTAGGTTAAGGAGATTTAAAGGACATAAGTGAGCCAGGCGTGGTGGCTCACGCCTGTAATCCCAGCACTTTGGGAAGCCAAGGCAGGTGGATCACTTGAGGCCAGGAGTTTGAGACCAGCCTGGCTAACATGGTGAAACCCCGTCTCTAGTAAAAATACAAAAATTAGCCAGGAGTGGTGGTGGGCACCTGTAATCCCAGCTACTCAGGAGGCTGAGGCAGCAGAATCACTTGAACCCAGGAGGTGGAGGCTGCAGTAAGCTGAGATTGCACCACTGCACTCCAGTCTAGGCAACAGAGCGAGACTCCATCTCAAAAAATAAAATAAAATAAAAAATAAAGGACTTAAGTGTAAGAGGTAGTGCTTGACTGGATTCTAAACAGCTATAGGCAGGGCGTAATCCCACACTCTAAGAGGCTGAGGAGGTAGAATTGCTTGAGCCCAGGAGTTTGAGACCAGCCTAGGCAACATAGGGAAACCTCATCTCTATAAAAATTTTAAAACTAGCCAGAGTCATCTGCCATGGCTTGCACCTGTAATCTCAGCACTTTGGAAGGCTGAGGTGGGAGGACTGCTTGAGCCCAGGAGTTCGAGACCAGCCTGGGCAACACAGTGAGACCTTATCTCTAAAATAAATAAATAAATAAAAAACACTAGCTGGGCATGGTGGCACATGCCTGTAGTCCCAGCTACTCAGGAGACTGAGGTGGGAAGACTGCTTGAGCCAGGGAGGTCAAGCCTGCAGTGAGTTGTGATTGTACCACTGCACTCCAGCCTGGGTGACAAAGTGAAACCATGTCTCAAACCAAAACCAGCTATAAAAGACACCTGGAAGTCAGGTGCAGTGGCTCATACCTGTAATCCCAGCACTTTGGGAGGCCGAGGCAGGTTGATCACTTGAGCCCAGGAGACCATCCTGGGCAACACAGTGAGACCCCATCTCTACAAAAAATTTAAAAACTTAGCCAGGCAAGTATACACATGTAACAAACCTGCATGTTATGCACATGTACCCTAGAACTTAAAGTATTAAAAAAAAAAAAAAAAAAATTAGCCAGGCATGGTGGCACACACCTGTAGTCTCTGCTACTTGGGAGGCTGAGGTGGAAGAATTGCGTAAGTCCAGGAGGTTGAGGCTGCATTGAGCCATGTTCATTCCACTGTACTTCAGACTGGGTGACAGAGAAAGACCCCGTCTCTTTAAAAAAAGTAAAAAATCAAAAGACACCGGCAACTATTTGGGGAAATCTGAATTTGGAATGGATGTTAATGACACTGGGGGATTATAGTTATTTTGTTTGTTTATTTTTAAGACAGTCTCGCTCTGTCACCTAGGCTGGAGTGCAGTGCTACAGTCTTTGGTCACTGCAACCTCCACTTCTCTGACTCAAGTGATCTTCCCACCTCAGCCTCCCAATTAGCTGGGATTACAGGCAAGCACCACCATGCCCAGCTAATTTTTGTATTTTTGGTAGAGAAAAGGTTTCACCGTGTTGCCCAGGCTGGTCTTGAACTACTGGGTGCAAGCTATCCACCAGCCTCAAGTGTGAACCAACATGGCAGGCCAGATTATAGTTATTTTTGTGAAATATGATAAACTTACTGTGGTTGTGTAGAAAAAGGACTTCTTTTTAGGGGCGATGTATGCAAACATTTAGGAGTGAAATGTCTTGACATTTGTAATATACTTTAAAATAGTAATTGTAAAGCAAAAGATGTTAATTATGGATGTTAATTACATGGATATTATGGCCTTTTTTCCTGCTTTTCTTGAATAAAGCTGTGTTTCTACATTCACTGTATATGTATGTAAGCAGGAAAACTACATGTATGGTGACTATAGCTGGTTAGCTCCAGGGAAGACTAGAATTGGACACATGGGTAAAAAAGGCAGATCAAACAAGATCGGCAAGAAAACAGAAACACAGCAGACTACGCAGATGGTGCACCAACCTTAACATATTCAACCGCTCTTGGAGAAAAATCACAGGCATAGGCAAAGATATTCGGATCTTCTTCTAAAAGTGGGAATAAACAGTTTCCAACCCCACAGCCAGCTTCAAGTATTGTTAACTTTTGATCTTCAAACTGGGGAAAGATAGCTCAAAGTTATAGCACATTACATTTGCATAATGAAGAAATAAACCAAACTAAAAGGTCCAGAATATGCGAGGTCTCTGACCCCATGAAGGAGACCATCAACAAGTGAACTAATAAGCAAAAGCTATTACTGGTACTTCATTTGTCATCCAACATTAACAGTTTGGTGTGGAGGAAAAAAACAGCACAATAGCTCCGGAATTAAACTGCCAGCACTCAAATCTCAACTCCTCCCCTGCATTCTATCCTTGGGCAAATCACTTAAACAGCTCTGTGCCTCAATTTTACCTTGGGGACAAATGAGTACAATACTAATACTTATACTTCACAGAGCCGGTATAAGGGTCAAATGATAGGACACGTAGAAAAGAGCCATGGTAAATAGTTCACTAACATGAACTATTATTATTATTATTTTGAGTATGTCACTGAAGTCAGTATGAATTTATATTTTGGTTTTTAAATTTTTAATGTTTAAATTTTTAAAAATTCAGAACATATGGTCTCACTATGCTGCCTAGACGGCTAATTCACGTTGGCTATTCACAGGCACAAGCTGACTGCCTGAGCCTCTCGATTAGCTGGTGATAGCCACCATACCTGGCTCTTGAATTTAATATATAATGTTTACAACTATCAGATCAACTTAAAGAAATAGAAAACGTCCACTAAAGTTCTCTTTCCTATATGTTAACCAAATCAGAAACTGCTAAAACTTTGACGTTAAGACCGAACAGTATATTTCTCTCCTAAAATGCAAAGCATTTTGATAGGCTTCTTTAATTCTCTGCTTCGCACTCTCCCTAGGAATGCAATACACAGCACACCTCTTCACATTTTTTTTTCCTTTTCTTTTTTTTTTTTTGAGACAGAGTCTCGCTCTGTCGCCAGGTTGGAGTGCAATGGCGCGATCTCGGCTCACTGCCATCTCTGCCTCCCGGGTTCAAGCGATTCTCCTGCCTCAGCCTCCCAAGTAGCTGGGACGATAGGCGTGCACCACCACACCTATCTAATTTTTGTATTTTTAGTAAAGACAGGGTTTCATCATGTTGGCCAGGATAGTCTCAATCTCTTGACCTCGTGATCCGCCTGCCTCGGCCTCCCCAGGTACTGGGATTACAGGCATGAGCCACCGCACTGGGCCCTCTTCACATTTTAAATTAAGAACAGCTCAGATAAGGCGTAATATTAGCTTACCTCTCTACATGATCTTAGCTCCTCAAACTCTCTGGTGGTCCAGTGTCTGTCTTTGAAGAAATTAGTGCTATTTCTTTTGTAAAAAAGATCCCAGTTTTTCTGAGCCTCTTGTTCCAATTTGTGCTGTTTAAAATCAGACACCAAAGTTTGGTCTCTTTTCAGTTTCTCCTCTTCTTCAGAGCTGAGAACCCTTGCCTGCAGCCTCTTCCTTGGCAAAGAAGTCATCTCAGAAACTGAAGGTAACACTTAACACAGCTGAAGATTCTCCATCCCCAAATAATATGAATCCATGCTAATGGATCAGATGCATTTCCTCAGGTGAGTTTCACGCCTCAAACAGCACAGGGGCTTCGCAGACAAAAGAATGAGATTCTGGTTAGTGGTTCTAGAACGGTTCAAGACGCCAGGTTCAATTCACCAAATGTTTATGAGATGCAGACTGTACAAAAAAAAAATCCTCCCCGCTATATGAGAGGTCACAAAGACGACAAAGACAACAGTCCCTAACTTCAGAGGGCTTAAATTCATTCAGTGGCCAGGACTATCTCATGCACCATACTTTTATTCAAACCAGATGAGTCAACTATTACAATAAATCGATTTAGTTTAGAAAAAAAAAGGACGCTCTCACGAACTGACTGGGAAACCTTGCGAAGAAAATATTACTCAATTTTCGGTGCCCGCGAAAGGGGTGACTTAAAAACCACAATGGACTTAGCTGGAAGCGGGTGGTCAATTGCCAGATACAAGTGAGGTCACCGTTTCCCAAGGGTCGGAGCTCCGTTTTTTCGGGGGAAATGAAGCTAAGCCTGGGTGGGCTCATTTCCTGACCGCACTCACAAGAGGCTGTCGTAGGAACCAGAGGGAACGTCACTTTTCAGGGACTGAGGCCCTCGCACCGCCATCACTGCGCAAAGTGGAGAAAGAGACCCAGTGACGCGTGGCTGAGGTCCCGAGGATCCATCTCAGGACACTCAGGATAGACTAGGCCGCATGGGCCCTTGGACCCTGAGGAGGGCGTCCGTGATGGCTAGCCTACCCGCGTTAATCTAGTCAGCCACGCTCAGGGATCACCATCATCAGTTCCTAAATTCACCTGTAGGGGTAGGGCCAGGCGCACTCACCCTACAGCCAGCCCCAGATCTCGGAGGCAGAATATGGGAGGAACTGCGAAACAACCCTGAGCCAATTCTGAGAATCACAAATTGGGAATCTCCGGGAGGAGTTCTTTCGCCATGGCACCGCCCCCGCCACTTCCGCTAGGAACCCGGAAGTTCCTACCCGACGCCGGAAGTCCCCCGGCCTTGCCCCTTCAGATTCTTCCTTTATCCCGAGGCAGAGAACAGGACTTGCTTCTGGACCCGGGTGGGTGCCGGCTTTGCTCTCCTTGCCCCCTAGAGCGGTGTCCCGGGAGCACAGTCCTCCCAGACGCCAGCGCCGGAAGCTCCGATCGCGGCTGCGCCAGGAGAGCGCCGATCTGGGTGCGAGGCCGGTGCGGGGCCATGAATGGGACCGCGAACCCGCTGCTGGACCGCGAGGAACATTGCCTGAGACTCGGGGAGAGCTTCGAGAAGCGACCGCGGGCCTCCTTTCACACTATTCGTTGTAAGTCAGCGCTCCCCACGGTTCCCTTCGGCCGCTCAAGCCGCCACATGTCAACCTTGACTCCTTCCTTTCTTCTCTCGGCCCTTCAGATTCCAGGGAACCCCCTGCCAGCGTCAGTTACTTTCTCTCGAACCCCCAATCCTTTGGGACCTCGAGTTGGCCCTTCTTTTACCCAGATTATTTCTCCCAAATCTTCGTCACTCCCTACTATTCTTCTACTTTATAGTCTCAAACACTAGTTCCAAAGGTCTTTGGCCTCGTTTTGGTTCCATCCCTCCCCTCCCCCGACGTCGCCCCTAAGGCAAACCTCCCGCCCCTAAGGCAAACCTCCCGCCCCTAAGGCAAACCTCCCTCCCCCAAGGCAAACCTCCCCCCTCTTATCCGGGTCCACTTCCTCCTCGAAACCCCTCCCCTCCTTTCCAATGCTCCCATCAGGGTTCTCCACAGTTAAAAGACGCTTCTTGTTTATTACGACCCTCATCCACTCCCTCCGAACCCCTTCTCTTCCCTGCTTTCCTCCTCCGACTTGGTTCTGGACTCCCAGATACTGCGCTTTGTCCCCTTTACAGCCAAAGAATTGGCATCCTCTCTGCGCCTCAGAGTTTTCTTCCATCTCCTTTCTGTGCTTCATTTGACTTGGATGTCTTTTGAGGTCACCTATACCATACGGGCTTTTCCTCCAGACCAAGTTCCTTGTGGGTAAAGAGTCAAATCAGAGTTCGTGAGCCTGGGATAGGTTAAAGATTGGTCTATGTTTGGAAGCAGAAGAGAGCAGGCGTAAGGAATGGCGAAATAGTCATTATGCCGGACCTTTTTCTACATGATTATAGACTCTGTTGAGAGTGCACTTCCACCCTATGTCGTGGGTGAAGGTTTGGCAGTTAGGAATTGGCTGACAGAGCATCCCTCCGTGATTCATGAACTTCTGGTTTCCGTGGCGCTAACGCTGTTGTTAAGACTTGTTTTTGTCAGAGGACCTGATAGATGTGACTCAACACATGTGAAGAGGGCGTCTTAGATAATGAAATCCCATCTTTGTGTAGTCACTTGCCATGCCATTACTATGCTTCCTACTGACAGCAGATCCAGCTCTTTCAGAGAGGAGATTGGGAATGAGATAAGAACATCATTTCCTGAAGAGTTTACTAAGTTGATGTTCTCTTTTGGTGAAGGGCAATGTGGAATTTAAATCATACAGTTCATGTGTGCACCTGCCCTGCAGTTTGAGGCAGATGTGAATGTGAATTAAGATGGCTATTCATGTTGTACTCTAACTGCAGTTTAGAAACACGAGCAGGATAACTTGTGGAGATACAGTTAAGTTGTCTGCTATGAACTACAGAATTGTCTTGGTTAAAGCTGCAGAACTGGCTGAGAGTGGTGGCTGACACGATAATCCCAGTACTTTGGGAGGCCGAGGCGGGCAGATAGCTTGAGCCCAGGAGTTTGAGACCAGCCTGGGCAGCGTAGGCCCATCACTATTTAAAAAGAAAGAAAGAAAGAAAAAAAAACAGCTATGGAACTTGAGTATGGCAAATCCTAATTTTGACAGTTTCTATGCAGAGTGAAATCAGCTTTTGATGATGCTGTGGCCTTTCGTGTTTCATAGAGTTGACAGTCACAGGATCTTTTTCATATGCTGTTACTTTTGATCCTCACAACCCTAAAAAAGCAACTTATTATGGATGATGAGACCTTCATTTTCATCTCTCCCTTGGGAGAAGGGAATATCTTTAATAAAATGGCCTGTAAATTCTTTTTTCCCCCTAGAATAATCCAAAGGGGGTCAGAGGAAAAGTTTGTAGAGGTGTAGATGAAACAGGATTGTCCCTGAGTTGGTAATAATAGAAACTGGATAATGGTACACCAGGGCTCATTGTACGATTTTCTCTACTTTTGTATATCTGAAGTTTTCCATAATGAAACCGGTTTTTAAGAATTCTGAATTATTTTTATTTTTCATTCATCTGAGTAATAACAAATTTAATTCTTAAATGGAGATGTCCAGGAGGCCCTTATTATAAGTAACCTGGTGGGTAAGTGTTTTCTTTCCTTTCCCTTTAGATGATTTTAAACCAGCATCTATAGACACTTCCTGTGAAGGAGAGCTTCAAGTTGGCAAAGGAGATGAAGTCACAATTACACTGCCACATATCCCTGTGAGTTTATTTCATTGTTTTTTTAAATGTAGGATCACAATGGATCTTCATCTTTTATGTTATTGCAATTTAAACTTCCTACTTTTAAAAATGTTTAGATTTCTAAAGTGGCAACATAAGGGAAAAAAGGAATTTTGGGGAGTGGGGTGGGGTGGACTTCATGCTAGGCAGGTGCTTGATTTAAAAATAATTCTTGTAATCTTAGCACTTTGGGAGGTGGAAGTGGGTAGATAGCTTGAGTTCAGGAGTTCAAGACCAGCCTGGGCAACATGGTGAAACCCCGTCTGTACCAAAAATACAAAAAAATTCGCTGGGGGTGATGGCGCTTGTCTGTAGTCCCAGCTGCTTGGGAAGCTGAGGTGGGAGGATCACTTGAGCTGGGAGGTAGAGGTTGCAGTAAGCCAAGATCACGCCCAAGGCACTCCAGCCTGGGCGATGGAGTGAGACTCCCTCTCAAAAAAAAAAGATTATTCAAGATTCAAGATTATTCGTCATTTTCCCCAATCTTCCTTTTCCCCTATCTGCCACTAAGTAGACAAGGTTCCTGTCTGGACACACCTAGCCCCTCTTTGAGATACAGCTTTTCTCCCAAGCAACTCCAGAGAGAAAAGCCTTAGGTGCCCTGCTGATTATACGGCCACAACAGCTCAGGAGTGTGAGGCAACCAAGCCAGGAGTTAAGGCAGGCAAGAGCCAGAGATTGACACACTCAGCTGATTTAGGGATGAAGAACTAAATTGAAAGCTGGATTAAGAACCCTTGCAGAGAAAGACTTTTGTGAAGCCCTACCCAAGGCAGCACTAATGACAAAGCACCAAAGGGTCACATGATGCTCTTAGCGAACATGTTTTATTGCATGTCACACCCCTGTTCTGGAACATAAGTTCTTGGTAGCTGGTGATAGAATGAAAAGTCTCTGGACAGAGAGATCTGGAAAGTTTTGTGCTGAGGAAAAATTGCCCATCCAAACTGCTATTTGATTACTCGTTGCCTTTGGCAAGTTACATCATCTCCCTTTGGACCTTAGTTTCCCATATGTAAAATGAAAGGTTTAGATAAATGGTCCCTAAAGTCCTTTCTAGCTCTATATTTTTACTATATAAATAAGGAGTCAAAGAGCCAAGCGGTTTTTTTTTATTCTAAGCAAGGTATTAAATACTATATTCAACAAATATTAATCAAACGCCTCCCACACGCTGGCCCATTACTAGGCATGAAGAATACAACCTTGGACAAAACAAGCACATTTCTTGCCCTTGTGGAGCTTATGGTCTGGAGTTTAAATAAACACAAGAAAATATAGCTGTTATTCTACAAAATCTTACTTCCTTAAGAAAGTAAGCTGTGAGCAGATCTGGAGGTTTGGTCATTTAAAGAGAGGGGGCAGGATATAGCCGGCGGGAAGCCTTGTTAAAGCCCAGAGGCAGGAGAGAGTTTGAGGATCAGAGAGAAGCCAGTTGCCTTCTGCTCCGAAGCACATGTGCAGGGGAGTATGCCGCAGGGTGAGGTGGAGAGCCAGGGAAGGGCCCGGTAGTGCAAGGCCAAGTGGCTAGTTTAAAGATTTTATCCTTTGACTTGAGAGCAATTGAGGAGTGACTGAAAGGCTTAGGCAGATGAGTGACATGATTTATTTATTCTGAGCCAACCAGGATAATGATCTTCTCTTGGAAAATGCTCTGTTGGTTGCTTGACATGAGAAGGGGAAACCCTGGTCTCTCTAATGACAAAGAAGTAAAGAGATCACTCACAAAGTAAAGAGATCACTCACAGTTTTACTATACAGAGATAGCTCTGCTTAGTATAGTGCAAATAATGGTTAATTAATTTTTCTCTCTCAGAATGTATATAGTAATTTAAAATTTTTGTACTACCTTTTTGATTACTTAGAATGTGTTGCACATTCACAGATGCTTGCTATATTATTTCTCCTTTATTTTTGCCTGGGAAACCAGGAGTTAAAAATAGAAATCGGTTCAACCTATTCTTTTTGAATAGCTCTGATGAAAGATTTCATCAGGTAGAGTCATCTATAAATTCAGCTGATATTCATGACTGGTATGTTTAGTTTGATCATCTTATACTTTTGTGGCAAATAGGGATCCACACCACCCATGACTGTGTTCAAGGGGAACAAACGGCCTTACCAGAAAGACTGTGTGCTTATTATTAATCATGACACTGGTGAATATGTGCTGGAAAAACTCAGTAGCAGCATTCAGGTGAAGAAAACAAGGTATGTGAATAGCCAGATGCAGGTTTATGTCATGTTTCCAAACCTCTGTTATCTATTCAGTTTTTATAAGGTTGTGAACATCTGCTTGCTCATAGTGTTCTATCAGTAGTCTTAACTCTACCTGTGTCTTCTCAGACAAATCAGTAAAATATGTCTTCCTCAAATGCAATAAAAAGAAATAATGTTTTTAAGACCTAAAACATGGGAACCATTGGGGAAAGGGATATACTTTATAATTAAGCCAATTTTGTTAATCTCGTGAT